AAAAAAAAAAAAAAAAAATCCTGGATGAATTTTAAGGCCATTCCTGTTTTTGTGAATCCTCAACGCCCTGACCGGGAAGTTTTCCCTCTCAGAATTTAGATACTGTTGTAATCTATGTGTCATCTGTAGCACACCACTGCCTATGTTTGCCTTTACTACTCATGTACATCCTTTGCACCCTGCTGTGTGTAGGGCTCTCAAAGGACAATGACTGGTTCAAGTTTGTCAAGTGTATCTAACAATAAATTACCATTCATCCAGTGTAATGGGTAAAATCATTCTCTGAATTGCCAAAGGGTTATGAACCATATATCTATTTAACTTCTGCAGTAGTCCTTAGGGTTTCCCCCAACCAAGGAAGGAATAAAACAAAGCTATGAAAAAAAAATTGTTTTCCCTTTTATCCTGTATTAGCGTGTTTTAAAATTAAGACATAATTTATGTGTCCCTAAATTCACCCTTTTAAAGTGTATAAGCAATGGTTTCTGTTATTTACAAGGTTGTACAACCATCACCACAAGCTCATTCCAGAATATGTTACTTACCTCAGACAGAAACTCCATACCCATTTCTAATCTTGGAATCCCCTGACAGAGATGAATCTGCTTTCTGTCTCTCTAATTTTACCTATTCTGGACATTCCATATAAATTGAGTCATGTAATATGATTAACTTCAGCTTTTTCCACTCAGCATACCGTTTTCAAGCTTCATTCATGTTGTAGCATGCATCCTTCCTTCATTCTGTTTTGGCTGAATAATATTCTATTGTGTAGCTAGACCACATTTTGTTTATCCACTCATTAGCTGGCAGACATTTGGGTTGTTTCTACTTTTGGGCTATTATGATCAGTACCGTCATTAACATTTGTGTGCAAGTTTTTGCAGGGCCTGTGTTTTCAGTTTCTTTGGGAGAATACATAGGAGTAGGATTATTGAGTTTCAGACTAATTTTATGCTTAATTCTTTGTGGTATGCTAAGTAACGATCTCCCAAAATGTCTATGTCTCCCAATTCCCAGAACCTGTGACTGCTGCCGTATGATACAAGGGACTTTGCCAATGTGATTAAGTTAAGGATCCTGAGATGGGGAGTTTTCCCTTGACTATGTGGGTGGGCTTGAGGTAGCCACATCCTTACAAGGATGGAGGAGGAATCAGAGCAGAAAGAGGTGTGATGTGCTTTGAAAATGGAGCGTCAGGTCACAAGCCCAGGAATACAGGTAACCCTGCTAGAGGTGAATGGGAAAGGAAATAGATTCCCCTTTCAGGGCCTCCAGGAGGAGCCAGCCTTCCTAAACACCTTGATTTCAGCGCAGTGAAACTGATTCTGAACCCCTGAGACTACCCGGACAGCGAAGGATTAAGTTTATGTTGTGTTAAGCCACTATGATGGTAATCTTTACAGCAGCAAAAAGCTAATGTGCTGCTGAACTATCTTCCCAAGTGGCTGCACTGTTGTACACTTTCACATTCTTCACAAAACTTGTTACTGTCCGTTTAAAAAATTATAGCCCTCTAGTGGTCACAAAAGATATGTTGTGATTTTGATATGTTTTCCTAACAATGAATGTGCAGGCTTTCCTGTGCTTGCAGGCTGTTTGTATGTCTTCTTCGGAGAAATGTCTATTCAAACTCTACACCCATTTGATCAATAAGGGAATTTTTTTACAGTATTGGAGAATGAATTCAGGGCCTGCACACTAAGCTAAATCCTCTTTTTTTAAATTTTTGAGACAGCATCTTGCTAAGACGCTAAATTCACTAACTAGCCTGGAACTTGCAGTCTTCCTGCCTCAGCTTCCCAGCATGCTGGGATTATAGCATTGTGCCACCATGCCCAACAAGTAATTTGTCTTACTATTGAGTTCTAGGAGTTCTTTCTATATTATGCATACTAGAGCAACTGTCTAATATAAAGATTTATGCCTATGTTTCCTCCTACGAGTTTTATAACTTTAGCTTTTATGTTTGTATTTTTGATCCATTTTGAGTGAATTTTCATAAATTGTATGAAAAGAAATTCAACTTCATTCTTTTGCATGTGGATATCCACCTGTCCCAGCACCATTTTTTGGAAAGGCGTAGTCTCTACCCATTAACTGGTCTTAGCACCCCTGTCAAAAAGTCAACTGAGCTGGGCATGGTGGCACATGTCTGTAATCCCAGCATTTGGGAGGCTGAGGCAGAAGGAGTGTCTCAAGTGTGAGGCCAGCCTGGGCTGCATAGTGAGACCCTGTCTCAACAAACAAAAAACAAACAAACAAAGAAATCAATTGACCACAAGTGTGAGGGTTTATTTGTAGACTCTCAATTCTCTTTCATCGATCTCGGTGTTTCTTTAAGCCAGTACAACAGAGACTGATGGCTATTGCAGTGTAGTAGGCTTAGAAAATGAGAATTGTGAGCCATTCATCTTTGTTCTTTTGACTTTTCTGGGTCCTTGTATTTCCCTATGAATTTTATTTTTACTTTTGTGGGGCAGAGTACTAGGAATTGAACCCAGGGCCTTTACACGGAGTTATAACTCTCACCCTTTTAATTTTTTAAAATTTTGACACAGGTTCTCACTAAGTTGCTAAGCTGCCTAGGCTGGGCTCAAATTTGCAATCCTCCTGCCTCAGCCTCCCAGAGCGCTGGAATTATAGGCATGTACCATCACACTCGGCTTCTGAAATCAGCAAGTTGATTTCTTCAATAAAGGCACCTTAGATTTTCATGATGATTGCACTGAATTGGTAGAGAAATTTGTAGAATATTGCCATGTCAATAATGTTAAGTCTTTCAGTTAATGGACATAGGGTGTATTTTACTTTATTTTACTTTATCTTATTTCACAACTGTAGGTTGAAACCAGGAGTGCTTTACTACTAATCTACATCCCCAACCCTTTTAAATTTTAGGCCAGGCTCTTGCTCAGGCTGTGTTGGAACTTGCAATCCTCAGGCCTTGACCTTTCAGAATGCTGGGATTATAGGTGTGTGCCACCACACCCAAGTGACAATTTATTTTGGTACGTCGATCTAGTAATACACTTGAACTTGTTTATTAGCTCTAAAATTTTGGTGAGAATTCCAAAGTGATTAAAATTATTGCTGATCTTAGAGGGGAAGCTTTCAGTCTTTCATCATTAAATATAATGCTAGTTATGAGATTTCTGTAGATGCCTTTACCAAGGTGAGGAAGTTCCCTTTTTTTCCTAGTTCATTGAATGTTTTTCTCGTGGAAGGGTGTTTCATTTTATCAGATGAATTTATTGGGATGAGCATGTGGGCTTTCCCTTTCTTTATTCTACATGTGTCTGACATTGACTTCATATGTTGAATCACTCTTGCATTCCTGGGATGATCAGTATGTTAACCATATGTTTATATGTTGATACATTTAGTTTTCTAGTATCTTTTTTTTTTTTGTTTTTGGTACCAGGAATCAAACTCAAGACCTTGTGCTTGCCAGGCAGGCACTTGTGCCACTGAGGTATATTCCCCAGCCCAGTTTTCTAGTAGCTTGTGGAGGGTCTTTGCATCTGTAGTGATAAGGGATATTGGTGTGTACTTTCCTCAAAATGTCTTTCACTGGTTTGGTATTGCCGTGGTTTGTATATTGTTTGAGTGTGTTCTTCCCAGGTTCATCCGCTGGAACTTTGGTCTCCAGTGTGGCAGTATTGAGGTGGTGAACCTCTAAGACAGGGATGGCGAACCTTTTAGAGCTTTCAGTGATGCAAACAGCCCGCTGTGACACACATGCTATAGATTTGCCACCGCTGCTGTGAGATGTAGGGAATGGTGGAAGGTCATTAGGTCCCTGGAGATATCAGCCTCAAAAGGGATTAGTGCAGTTCTTGCTGGATTGTGGTTAGCTCTCACAAGAGCAGGTTGTCACAAAATGAAGCCACTGTCTGCACTCAGCCCCTTGTGCATGTCACTATCCTCTTTGTGTTCTTCCACCTTATTGTGATACAGCCAGAGAATCCCCAGCCAGAATGTCAAGGTCATGGTGTCTTCTAGCTGCCAGAATCATGAACTAAATAAACCTCTTTATTTCAGAAGTTACCCAAACTTGGGTATTTTGTTATAGCAACAGAAAATGGATTAATACAGTTACCAAGGCAATACTAACCTCAAAGAATGAGTTAGAAAAGTCACCCCTCTTCTATGTCTTTTTTTGAAGAGTTTGAAAAGATTGATGGTGTTTATCTATTTTTAGTATTTGAAAAAAATTTTCAGAAGCCATCTGGGCTTAGGCTTCTCTTTGTGGCTTATATTTTTAGTTACTAATTCGATCTCTTTACTTGTTACAAGTCTATCCAAATTTTCTATTTCTTGTCACTTTTGGTTGTTGTACATTTTGAGGAATGTACCTGTTTTATCTAGATTATCAAATTTGTTGGCATATGTTTTTTCATATTTCCTTTATCTTATCTCTATCAGTACACTAGTAATTTCCTCACTTTTATTCCCTGTTTCGATAACTTGCATCTTCCTTTTTTTTTTCTTCTGATAAGCAACTTTTAGTTTCATTGACTCTGCCCTATTTTCCTATTCCTTATTTCCAGTTTCCATTTTTCTTTCTTCTGCTAGCTTTGGGCTTTCCAGTTTTTATGGTGAGGGGGGAATTTTGAATATCATCACTACTGCCTTTATTTTTCTTCTTCCCAATACCCACTAACATGTTCTCACTGCATGGGATGAAAAGGTGCTAGGAATCTGGTGATAATAGGAATTATTTCTTCCCTACCATGAGGTGGAAGGAGGGAAGCAGAAAAGGATGTAAAAAGAATTAAGATGTGTTCTGTACATGTACCAATTCCCCATGATGAATGTAATCACTGTGCACTGCAAATGTGTATTAGTAAAAAATTTTTAAATAATTTTTTTTTAAAAAGTAATTACTCTTTCCCAAAGCATGGGAAGTGTCACACTGTGGTCTATAAACTATGGACCACCAGATATTCTTCCCTCCTCTAATACAGACGAGCATGCACAATGGGAGAGCCTGTTCAAGCCAAACTTTTAATCGGATGGAAGGTTAGACTATATGATGTCTATGCCTCCTTTTAGCAGAGACTCTGACCTGAATGTGTCTCTCCTTGCAGATCAGTCTCTCAATGGATGAAATCATGAAAGGTGTGAATAGCTCAGATCTTACCATCTGCTGCCAGGCCACCCAGGCAATCAGGTATCACCAAGCCAACTTCTCTTTGCAGGTTTATAGCCAGAAATGAGCTGCGTAGACCTCTTTAGTTTCTTGGCATTGGCAAAATGCCTATAAAATATAGGAAATGGCTAGTCTATCCACAGGTAAGACTAGATTGCTATGCTACACTGTCCTTGAGGGCAACTTAAAAGATGCAATGTGTTGTCAGAGATGAATTGCTTAATTTACATTGGCCTCTACAGGAATTTGAGCTCATAGATAATACCTGAAGGGCAAAATGTTGCTTTATTGCTGTAAAGTGCTACAGGCTGGGCAAGGATATTAAGTAGCTCTGGCCCAGCTGTTTATCTCATCTGATAGTTAGGAATGCCAAAAACGTCTAGAAAGGAGGTTCTTTTTATCACTTCCCCCATGTGACTCTCTCCACCCTCTTCTATTGTACAGGAAAATGCTGTCCCGGGAAAAGAATCCTCCTCTCACAATGATTGTTGACTTAGGGGTCATCCCCAGGCTGGTGAAGTTCCTGAGCTTACGCCATTACCCCCATTTGCAGTTCGAGGCAGCCTGGGCTCTGACCAACATTGCTTCAGGGACTTCAGCACAGACCCAAGCAGTTGTGCAGGCGGGCGCCATTCCATCCCTCCTGGGGCTCCTGTCGGGTGTCTCCAATGCCGCTGTGTGTGAACAAGCAGTGTGGGCACTCGGGAACATAGCTGGTGAGACTTTCCTCTTGGTGGGCCAGGGATGCAGGCAGGTGCTAGGGGAGTTTTTGAAGTAGCATGGTGCCCTTGATATTCTGGAGCCCCTCCCAGTATAAATACTCAGAAGTGCTGGGAAAAGTACAATGAGCCACGTCAAATTTGGGAGCCAAGTTCAGAGACCAAATATTGAAACTGAAACTCAATGATGCAGCACATGCTAAAGCAACAGGCTACCTAGGGACATCTGCCAATGTTGGAGTCCTAGAGCTTCAGGTCTTCGTGGCTTTGGGAATGAAAGAGAACATAAGTCTTTGACACATGCCGTGTAAGGGCTGAGGGCAGATCCTTATGTATTCCAGGATCCTAAAAGGACACACGCCTGCACTGAAAGTAGGAAAGCACAAGTGAGAGGGTTAGTGCTGCAGGATTGGAAGCCCCCAAATTTCTGACTGAAATAAATCCTAACGCTCTCTGGAGGAGGGAAAAAACTCAGTGGGGCCCCTCAGGATTTTGACAACTTAACAATCAGCCAGATATCAACAATGTCAAGTTCAGAGAAGTAGCAACTCACCATGACCGAGTCAGCACGAACACAAATATGAGAGCCCTAACGACTTCAGATATTGGAAGTAGCACACAGAATATAAAGCAACTGCTTTTAAAAATGCTTGCAGAAGTAATGCATCTACGACCGAGATGTTGTCTCTCGTTTTGCTTGGTTCAATAAGGGAAAGGCAAGATGGGGCAGTGTGATGTGACTTACACGCTGCCTTGATGGCTGAAGAATGCAAACGGAGACTTATTGCTAGGATCTTAAGTAGATACACTCGCTGAAGTTGCAGATGGTCTATTGCCAGTCTCTATCGATCCCTAGATTTTGTTCTGAATGGTACTTGGAAGTTCCTGCCCCATGCCAGAGTCTTCTGGGAAGACAGGCTGTTTGCGCTAGATTTGGTCTGCCTGAGAACCACGCGGTGAAGTGCTCTCAGCATTTATAATGTCCCTCCTGGGCTGAGCTGGCTGTCTCTCCTTTATGTGTCCACAGCTTCTGTTTATAGCAGTTGTGGCTGTGTGGCAACTGCTTGTCACATCGGGAATGTCCCCCCAGCAGACACTTTGGAGACTCAGGATCTAGTACACGGCTCTCCTATTTATTTGCTAAAACCCCAAGAACAAGTTTTAGTCTCTTATCCACTGCATAAACTTAAAAAAAAAAAGTTAGGCACCCACTTAGATATTCCCTTTGTTCTGAGTGTCATGTTCTGATCTATTTGTAGGTGATGGCCCAGAATTGAGAGATGTTGTTATCGCCAGCAATATCATCCCACGTCTGTCATCCCTGATTTCATCACCCATATCAGTGAGTGTCTTTAAATTAGAAAAGGTAGCTAGGTAACAAATTCTCAAGGCCGAGAAATTGGGGGGAAATCTTCCAAATCAATGCTAGATCATGTGGCTGCTATGATAGGTCTGGCCCATTTTGATAGAGGTCTAGGACAGAGTATCGTTTTGGGTAAAGATTGACTCAAATTTGTACTTACGGGCTAGTAGTGCTAATCTCTCTTCTGGGGATATTAGCAGAATTCCATTAAAATTTTTCAAGGTTTACCAGCTTGCCAACATAGATGACTATGACCTCCATCCAAGGACAAAGACAGGCATAATGGCTCTCTAGTTCTGTTCCTGAGAAATAGGGTCTAGGTTTGAAGCTTAGAGTCAAAGTTGAATGAGGTAACGCTACAGAACACCCCAGTTTAGCAGCTGGGTTCTAGATTTGCTTCAGAAAAAGTGAAGAGAAGCCAAGGGAATAAATGCCAGACTCTCAAGGAGAGAGTATACCTGACATGCTTGAACCAGAAAAAGGCTAACCAAGACAAAGGGAGTTTGCAAGGGTGGAGAGATATGTGGTGGTAAGTGGGATAAAGGTCTTAGATACCATGCTGGTGGCAAAAGGGAACCTCTGGAGGGTGTCAAGGCAGGAAGCAAGGTGGTCTGACCTTCCTAGCTGCCTGTGGTAGGGTTATAGCAGAGAAAGCTAGCAGGCATGTCTGGCGCAGGGAGGCTGCTGTGCCGGACATGGAAGGGAATGGAGCAAAGATGCCCCCAGGTTTCAGGATAGGTTGTGACGATGACCCTCCTCCCAGAAAAAGAGAGAGATGGAGGAAAAGGGGAAGCAGAGCTTCCTTTACAATGCTGAGGTTCGTTGGAGGTACCATGACCAAAATGGCAGGTTGATAGCTATGCTGATCCGGATTATTGTAATATTCATGGGCCATCCAGGGAGGCAAGGTCAGCTAGAGCAGGGGTCAGCACACTTAACCTGACCAGCTGCTTGTTTTGTAAATAACACGTTACAGAGCACAGTCACACCTACTTGTTTATCTAGCATCTGTGGCCACCACTGTGTTACAAGTAGTTGCAATAAGAGACCATGAGGGGCACAAGACTGAAAATGTTTACTGCACGGCCCTTGCTAGACATTTGCCAGCCCCTGACCTAGGGTGGGAGGATGGGGAGGATGAAGTCCTGGGGGCTGTAACATTAAGAGGTCAGGCAGAACCTACCAAGATGAAGAAGAAACAGTTCATTCAAAACCAGAGCTTGTGTGACTGCCAAGGAGGTCTTTCTCTAAAGAGAGTGGCTGGCTGCTCAGTATAGCTGAGATTTAACAGTAACTGACAGTAACTTTAGAAATGAGAAGCAACTGTTAGATCAGGGGGCTTGGAAGGATCTGGTTTCCTTAACTAACTACAAAGAAATGGTGGCAGACATCAGATGTAAATGGCTTGGAGAACAAGTAGCAAGCTTGGGGTAGACAGTGCATAAAGGTGCCTCCTTAAACCTAGGCAAGATGGTGAATGTGTTTAATCCTAGCGCTGAGGGAGGCTGAGGCAGGAGGATTGTAAGTTTAAGATCTGCCTGTGCAAGTTAGCAAGATCCTTTCTCTAGATCGGTGATGGCGAACCTTTTAGAGCTTTTGATGATCACAAACATCCCACAGTCGCACACGTGCCATGGGTTTGCCACTACAGTTCTAGATGATAGAGACAGTCAGATAGATGGATGTCATAGATAGACACTATAGATGGATAGGTAGACAGACAGACAGATCAAACAAACCAACAAATAAAAAACTAGGGATGTAGCTCAATGGTACAGCATCCGTGGGGTTAATGCCCAGTACTGTGGTGGGACGGCAGAGGCACACACACACACACACACACACACACACACACACACACAGAAATGGGAGGAGGAGGGAGAGGAATCCTTGAGAAAGGACTAAAGAACAGAGACAGAATTAGGGTGGTGGCTGGAGATCTACCAAGGGAATGGTGGAAGGAGGGGGCTGAAAATCACAGAGCCTGTCTCCATACTTGTGGGAGTGTGCAGATGAGACAGACAATTTCAGGGACAAAGTCTCTAAGGGCATAAAGTGATGGGACCTAGAGGCAGGGTGGGGAGGTTGATTTTTAAGTAGGAGATAAGAAATATGATTAGGATATATTGATAGTTATACACTGGCAAAAAGAACAAGTTACTCCCACTCGATCTTTTTGTTAATGAGAAGGTGAAATCGGGGCATCAGTGAAGTAGGGTAGAAAAACACATGTTGAAAAACGAAAAAAAAACCTCCTTCTAGCATTTGAATACGAAATTTAAAGCTCATTCTTTGTCCCTAATACACATCGCTGCCTAGAACAATTTCTATTTGAAGCTCAAAAACTTTGGTTCCTGCTGATCAACTATATTGATCAGAGAGAGGAAGGTCACACTACATGCCTCTTTCTGCCTGATCCTGGCAGCAGTCTCCTTGTTCCAGATCTCATTTCTACGGACCATCACGTGGACCTTCTCCAACTTGTGCCGAAACAAGGACCCGTACCCTCACGAGGAGGCGGTGAAGCAAATGCTGCCCATCCTTTCCTACCTCCTACATCAACAGGACAGTGAAATCCTCTCGGACACCTGCTGGGCCCTGTCCTACCTAACCGATGCCGACAGTGAGCGCACCGCCCTCGTGATTGACACAGGGGTCCTGCCCAGGCTGGTAGAGCTCATGGACAACTCGGATATCAATGTCTTGGTAAATATCGTCCTGGGTCCTGTCTATTTCTGTAAGGGCTTTCAGATTACAGCCTGTATGTCAGATTCACTTTACAAGGTTCTGTCCCCCTGGCTCTAGGACTTCATAGCTGTCTCTAATCCCCCCCTTTTTTTCTGAGACAGGGTCTTGCTGTGTAATCCAGGCCAGCCTTGAACTCACTTATGTAGCCCAGGCTAACCTTGAACTCATGGTAATCCTCTTGCTTCGGCTTCCTGAGTACTGGGATTACAGGTGTGCGCCATCACACCTGGCTGTAATCCTTTACCTGAAACATAGTTTGTCATCTGTGTTTCCCTGGTCTTTGCCACTTTTTGGCCAAGGATTCAAATCTATTTTGATCAAAACTCCTAGTGAGTGTTAAATAACTTATTCTTAATCTGATAACCAAACAAATATAGGAAAGTATCAAGCGGAAATTGCTTATCCTTCCACCTAGGGTACTACTATTAATGCTTTCCTCTTAGTGGTCTGTGAATTGGGACTTAAACAAGTTGGATGATACAATGCATGTGCATGTATGTGTGTGTGTAGCTCATTGTAACATTTGAATTTTTTACAAAATACGAAAAAAAAATTCCCTTATCCTCTGTTCAATTTGTTCTTAGATTAACTAGATCCAGGCAAAAAGTAAGACCATTAAAATCATTATCAAACACTTTGAATTTGCTAGATTATTAAAAATATACCAACTATGTACTACACTATCATATGGTCTCCATCTCTCACTTGAGTAGCAGGTATATAGCCTAAAAGGCTAGGAAAACTCTAGAACTGCTGGTGGGCTTCTCCAGGGGCTGCCACAAGAGTACAGAGAAACCCAAATAAATCCATGGTCAGTTCTCCCAGGAAAGTTGTTATCTTAAGCTCAGTCTTAAGAGCCATCAGACCACCCAGGTGACCTTCAGAGTTATTGTGAGAGGTTTGTGAATGTACCAAGAAATGCCACTGGGACCCCATTAGTTCCAATTAAATATACAACAGAAACTTGACACTAGTGCTAAATATATATTCTGTAGAAGTTATGCCATGATAGACGCTATAATCAACTTAGCTTTTTACCCAGTTGAAAACATCATAAGGACAGAGGCATTTCTCTTTGTTTTTTGTTGAGACAGAGTCTCACCATGTAGCCCTCACTGTCCTCAAACTTGTGATTCTCCTGCCTCAGCCTCCCAAGTGCTGGGATGACAAGCCTGTGTCATCACACCTAGTTCATTTCCTGATGAAGTTATGCCTTGTCCTCTGTATTACCTGAGCCAGAACTCTTGGGAAGCTGGCAAGTACCTTGACACTATGTAAGAACACCCGATGGATGTGTCCATGCAATAAAGATCATAGATAAAGTGTTATGGTTCACATGGTTCCAGCAAACCAAGAGCATAACACAACCAATGTTTAGAAAGGCACAGAACTAGGTGTGATTTTCACCTTTAACTGCAATAGATTTGTGACACTGAGCTAGACTTCTAACTTTGTACTTCCAGGCCCCTTCTCTCCGCACCATGGGGAACATTGTCACAGGGCCAGATCACCAAACCCAGATGGCCATTGACGCAGGCATGCTGAAGGTGCTGCCCCGGCTCCTACAACATCCCCGGTCCTCCATCCAGAAGGAGGCGATGTGGGCCCTGAGCAACGTGGCTGCTGGGCCCCACCATCAAATCCAGCAGCTGATCGCTCATAATTTGCTGCCTCCTTTGGTGGCTCTGCTGAGAAATGTAAGTGGCACACTCTTCAGCCAACCAAAGGCTACCTTCTATGGCCCTGAATCCCTCCAGGAACTTAGACACAGGCTAAGAAGCAGAGTAATCAAGATCACAAGAAAGCTCTGAAACCTTAGGTCCCTGGCTCTGTCTAGGAACAGAAGGAGACCCTCTATTTTGAAGAACTCACCGAACAAGTATTGTTCATTGAAAAGGTGACCCCACAGCTCCAACATCCAGAAAAATCTAGAGCTGGTAAATACTGGCTTATCTATGTGGGGTGGTCAAAAAATGTGCCATCTATCTCTACCTATCAAAAGAGGAAAGAGACTTTGTTTTGTTTTAATAGGAAAAACTTACCAGGCCTCCATGGTGTCATACAGCGAAACAAAAAAGTGACCTTTTCAGTACACAAATGAAGTTGATTAAAGCAGTACTCTAAATGAAAAATTCAAATATGAAAGTAAAAGAAAAGGTTCTGTCCTCCTCCTGATACTTGCTTCCTTTCCCCAGGAGTAATGACTGTTGTCAGTATTTCCTTTTGTCACTTTTCAGTGAAAGAGCTACCAAGAAACCATCTGCAGTTATGGATGGTCACCTTGGGCTGCGGGTGGGGGGCAGGTGGTACAGCCTGAGAAAGAAAGGTTTCTGGCTCCTCTGTTCTTTATTTTATTTTATTTTTTGTGGTACAGGGGATTGAACTCAGGACCTTGCGCTTGCCAGGCAGGCATTTATGCCACTGAGCTATATCCCCAGCCCCAGTGGCTTCTCTGTTCTGAGGTTGGAGAACAGGTTTCCAGGTGGGGGTCAGGTAGAAAAAGCAGGACAGGTGTGCAGCCCAAATCATGGCATCTTCCAATCACTTCAGCACTTTCAAGCCTATATCCTACTGTGAGTCTCTGCTTGCTCTAATAAGGAATATCCGGATATAAATCAAGTAGCACTCATATTTCAAACCATGTCTTTTGAACTAGAACTTGATTGGGGCCATAAATTATTCGGTTTTGTCTTTGTTCTACCCTGAGGCCAATTTTTCCCAGCCATAAAATAAATCCTTTTGCCCAAGAATAGAATGATCCATGATAAACTATGCCCACATCTCTGGGCCAAGTGCTTTTTATAAAGGTACAGGATTCATTGAACAATATTTCAGTGATCTTTCCCTGTTATCTCTGGGCTGGCTCAGTCTCCTAGATCACATCTATGCCCTGCTATATAATTTATCCAAAGTTTTACTGTGTCTGAAAGATTAGAAATATAGATATAGGGGCTGGGGATATAGCTCAGCGACACAAGCGCTGTCTAGCAAGTGCAAGGTCCTGGGTCCAATTCCTGGTACCAAAAAAAAAAAAAAAAAGAAAAAGAAAAAGAAATAGAAATATAGATATAGGCCACTATCTTCTAGAATTCCAAGCATAACTCCTAGTCTGTATAGATTATCTAGACTGGTTTATGTTGGTTATATTTCCCCCTAGGTTGACATAAGGAAATGAGTCTACTTGATCTCAGAACCTCCCTCTGAGACCCCACTGCATGCTTGGCTGGTTTCATGGCTTTTCAGATGCTGTCTTCTCGTCTGGAAGGCAGACAGCCAAGGCAGTCTACACAAATTGCCCTTAGAGTGCTGGGTCTCCCCACCCTACATCGAAAGTGAGTCAAGTCAGCACACTTTTAGGTGCTTCAGGATCCGAAGTGAATGTGAACACTGTCTCTGCAGGGAGATTATAAAGTTCAGAAAGAAGCTGTCTGGACAGTGGCTAACTTCACAACAGGGGCCTCTGCCGACCAGTTGTTCCAGCTCATTAACTTTGGAATCCTGGAGCCACTGTTGAATCTGCTCACTGTCCCAGATCTGAAGATTATCGTTATCATCCTCGATGTCATCTCTTCTATCCTCCAGGTGAGCTGTTGTCATCAGGTCTGTTTGTAAACAGCAGTCTCTGATTTAAGACATTTAATTTGGTTCTTGATACCCAAGTGGGATTCTGTTTCCTCTGTACTCCCCGCCCGCTCCTGCCCTCAAGTCCTGTGGACAACACAAAAAGAGGCATCTCACAGAAGGACTGCTGCCTTCATTTTCACAAGTGAGGTCTTGGTGGCAAGCACATTCCTACATGCTCAGAGTAGGCTAGAGCACAGTTCCTCGTCTCCTGGAGCATATGTGCTAGTGGGGTGGGGGACAAACACATCATGGAGGAAGTATTGGATAAAGTAAATCAGATAAAAGGTAGTCACTCGCTAGGTATGGTGATACACACATATGATCCCAGCACTCTGGGAGGCTGAGACAGGAAGATCACAAATTTGAGCCCAGCCTGGGTAACTTAGCAATTTGGTGAGAACCTGTCTCAAAATAAAAAATGCAATGCACACCCCTGCATACAGCCCTTCTGCCCGCCCTTCATGTCTGTCTCTGCTATATGAAGGTGTTTTTTACATTTAAGGGAAAAAATGTTTAAAAAAATAAATAAAATAAAAATAAAAAGGGCTGGAGGTGTAGCAAAGGTCCTGAATTTGATCTCCAATACTGAAGAAAAATAGAGGAAGTCACCAATCATTCAGGGTGGGGAGCAGACATGGAAGTATGTATGCAGTAGTCCAAAGAAGGAACATTCTCTGAAGAGGACATTTGAATAGAGATCTAAAAGAGTGAGTGTTTTTTGTTTTTGTTTTTATTTTTGTTTTGGTGGTAGTAGTGCTACTGAGGATTGAATCCAGGGCCCTTATACTGAGCTACATTCCCAGCTTTTTCTTTGTTGTTTTGTTTTAAGTTTTAGAACCAGGTCTCACTAAGCTGCTAAATTGCTGAGTTGCCCAGGCAGGGCTGAAACTTGAGATCCTCCTGCCCCAGCCACCCAGAGTTGGGATTTCAGGTGTGTGCCAGCACACCAGTTGAGAGGAGTCTGTGGCTATCTGGAGGAGAATATTCTAGGCAAAAGGGCTAGCAAAAGGGGAGGGCATGGCCAGAACAAGGTGGTGGAAAGCGGTGGGAGATCTGGCTGAAGGCAGCCAGGGGCCAGGTCGCATAGGGTCTGCGAGAATGCTGACTTGTTCTGAATAAGGCAGGGGAACCAACAGAGGGGTTAAGAAGAGTCAGTGAGCCCCTGACCCTTCTAAACAGTGTATACAGAGAAGGCTAAAACACAGGAGATCTGTGAAGGAACAGTAAGAAGTTAGCACAGGTCAATCTTGAGAGATCACAAGAAGGTTTCAACTCCACTCAGCTCTGTAACAGAAGAAAAGTACTGCAAAGCACTGAACTAGAATTCTAGAAAAGCCTTAGTTCTGAAATGAAGTTAAACTTCAGACACTATTTCTGTGAGGTCTATATTGCCGCATAAGAAGTTATCTCTTAGTGACTTAAACATCTATCTCAGTTTCTGGGGCCAGGAGTCTCAAGCCTATTCAGCGGGATGCTGCTGACTCAGTATCTTCCACAGGGCTCATTCACAGGGCTGACAAGTCACCCCTGCCACGTGGACTTCTCCAAGGGCTGCCTGAGCATCCTCACAACATGGCGGCTAGTTTCCTACACCAGAACAAACCATTTGAGGAAAATTCTGATGTCTGTTATGACCTAGCTTTGGAGGTCACACTGTCGTTTGTAGCAGCACCTTGTTGCTTAAGAGATCAGCGTTATTCAATCTATGGGGAAACTATACCAGGGCATGAGCACTAGCAGTCAGCAATCATCAGGGGCCATCGTGGAGGCTGGCTGTGTTCATTTGATTAAACTCCTTTTACATTTGGCCCAGCCACTTGAAAAGCTTCAAAGTAACACCAGGGAATTCCTTTTAAAAGCCCACTTTGAACATCCTTTTCATGTAACCATCTTAGAAAGAACAGACCTGATTTGAAACCTAGCCCAATTATAGCCTGTGACTTTGAGTAAATGACATCGATAAAAGATGGAGAGTCAGCAACTAGCAGACAGGGTTGGACAAGAAGTTTGTGAAAACGCGAGTCTGGGCTATAGAAATGTAACTTCATCTGCTTCATTTGAGTTAGAGATGGGATTTGTGTTTTGGGAAATCACATTGGATGATCCAGTGAAGCCTCTGTGTCCGTGATGGCAAAACTTCTAGAGCTTTCAATGATACAAACAGCTCGCCATGGCCTGCATGCCGTAGGTCTGCACCACTGCTCAGTAGACAGAGGAGGAAGATCAAGGTGGTATTGCGGAAACCTCCAGGAGGGCGGCAGAGTGCCACTGAAATTATGTAAAACAACTTCTGAGTCACTTGCTGTTCTATGAAAATCCAAAACCCTCCTTCAGGTCACCTATTGCTCTGACTTACCCTCAATTTCCAGTTTTCTTTCTGAGGCTGACCAAGGCTCTTGGTGCCTGCCTTGGTTACTTTAGTCTAACTCAATGACTCATTTTGGAAAAACAGGTGGGGCGAAAAGATATCGAGGCTTAGATGTGCAGCTCACACTTTCACCATTGATTCAAGCCAAACAATGTGGCTTAGATCACATTTAACTTGATCTAGAGGACATTTGTTACTGCACACAAAAATAACAAAGCCCTTCAGGATATGATGCCATAGTACTTTCTCTCTCCCATGTCCCCTAAATATGCTGTTTAGCTGAACTACTGTCTTATAATACACCACACTTATTTCTTCAAGACTTTATCCTCAGGGTCCCCTCTTTTGGGAAAGTTGCTAGCCTGCTGTGCTGAGGCCCCGTCACTGAGGATCTGTGAGGTCTTCAAGCTTACTCTCTGCAGCATCTGTAATTTAATCTCTGGGCCGGGTGGATAGCTCAGTGGCACAAGTGCCTGCCTGGCAAGTGCAAAGTCCCGAGTTCAATTCCTGGTACCAAAAAAAATTGTAATTTAATCTCTGATAGTTTATGGTATTTTTTAACTATACTACAGCAATTATTTACTTGTTACTCCCAATAGTTTTTGAGTTATAAAAAGACCTTCTCTAAGTTACATCTGCACCTCTAGCTTTGGGTGTATTACCCATAGAAAATGGACAAACATTTGAGTGAATAAGTGACCTCTGATAATTAAGCCAGTGACCCTGTTGGATTAAATCCACTCAGATTATTTGTTTCAAGGACCCCGTTCTTTGACATCATGTGGTTTCTGTGACTAAGGGTCTCCTGACTTGTAAGACTTTTCAGGGAGTGTAGGATAGAATGCCTGTGTTTACATAATGTTACTCAGACATTTTCTGAACTGTATTTAAAACGACTTCCTTTCACCAGAGGTGGAAATCTACTAAACAGCAATAGAGACATCTATATTGGTGGGTGGTAATGTATTCAGCCAAAAATATCCTTTATGAGCTAGTAGTCCAGAAACATTGTATTTTGTGTAATAAAATAGACATATATTTTTATATAAATATTTTTGTTTTATAAAAACGCCCCTGCTGCCCCAGGAGCCTTGCATCTGACCCTTCTGGGGGCTGCTCCTGTGACGCCTGCTGGAGGTTCTGCTTCATCAGGGGCTGCCAGAGTCTCACCATCTCTTACCTCCCTTGGTTCCCAGGCTGCACAGAACCAGGGCGTCAAGGAAAGCTTGTGTTTTCTGATAGAAGAACTTGGTGGGATTCATAAACTTGAGGCTTTACAATTCCACAGAAACCCTGAGATTAGCTGGGCTGCTCTGAAAATCATCAACAGACACTTTGATGAGGTAAGTGACTTGCCAGTGAAAAGAAGTGCCCGTACATCCTAGGAGGCCGCCTCTGCAGGCAACCACCCACCGGGACCCTGTTCTCATGACGCTCCTCTGAAATTAGCTGGGTGTCCCCACCATCCCTGCTAAATGGGCAACCTGTGAGTGCGGAAGCGGGTCTAGTCTCCTAGGAGTGTGCCCTGTAACTCTGACTTAAATTGTACTTTATGTGCCTCCCTTTGGGGACCATGGGGAGGGAAAGGGTATGACATTAAAGTGACTTTCTGCCCAAGAATGCACACAAGGAAGGAAGGCCCAGCAACCAATTTGCCCCTTTCTGTATTTTCTTTCTTCCCAAAATACAGTGTTTGGGGATGAACTCTGTAAAGGTTTTTTAAGTTTTTTGTAGGAGCAGGGAAACACGATCAGATAGCATTGGATGTTCTTTAAATTTTTTTGGTGGTAAATATCTATCTATCTATCTGGCTATCTATCTATCTCTAAAGTTTTCCATTTTAACCCCTCGCATGCCTGTGTGTGTGTGTGTGTGTGTGTGTGTGTGTGTGTTACTGGGGATTGAACTCAAGGCCTTTGCACTGAGCTGCATCTCCGGCTATTTATCTTTTGTTTTGAGACAAAGGTCTCACTGAGTTACTCAGGTGGTCCTCAAACTTGTGATCCTTCGGCCTCAACCTCCAGAATTCTGGGACTACAGGGATGAGCCACCACACCTGGTGTATGGTTTACTGACACTAAGTACCTGCACACTATACAACTATCTCCACCATCCATCTACCTCCAGAACATTTTCATCTTTCCATGGTGAGACTCCATACTCATTAAATACTAATTCTCCACCACCTGCTGTCCAGCCCTTGGTAGTCACCATCCTACTTTCTGTTTCTGCAGGTTTGACTATTCTCAGGAACTGATAGTGGAACTGTATAATACTTGTGTTTTTGTGGCTTATTTTCATTTAGCTTTATGTTTGCAAGGTCCACCCATGTCATGGCATGTATCAGAATTTCAATCTTTTTTAGTGCAGGATAATATTTCACTAGATGTATATACCATATTTTGTTTATAATTTATCCATCAGTGGGCCTTTATGTTATTTTTACCATTTGGCTATTATGAATAATGATGCTAAGATTTCTTCACTCACTAATGAACATGAGTGAACCGATACCTGTTAGAGGCTTAGCTTTCAGTTCTTTCAAATATACATGGTACCTCAGTTCACAAACTCAATTTGTTTTATGAGTTTGGAAAAGGTGGACATGTTTGTGTTTGTGTGGAAAAGATGGCCATGGCTTTGTTTGTCACTTGATGCAGAGCTTGGAAACAAAAACAAAATTTTGCCAAACATTTCTGTTTGAGAACCAAATTGTTTGCAAACAAAAGCATTTATGAACAGAAGCACCATTGTGTATCTCTACATTCTTTCAAATATACATCTATGTATCTATATCATCTATCATCTATATCTACGTATCTATATCCAGAAGTAGAATTGCAGTATCATATGGTAATTTTATTAATAACTTTTGGAGAACTACCATACTATTTTCTATAGTGCATGTACCACCATTTCCCATTATACAGGTTTCCCACTTTTCCACATCCTTGTCAACATTTGTTATTTTCTGATTTGTTTGATAATAGCCATCTTAATGGATATGAAGTGGTATCTTGTTGTGGTTTTGATTTGCATTTATATTAGACACTGTATTTATCCATTTTCTGTTGCTATGACAAATTTCCCAAAGCTCAGTACTTACCAAGAAAAGAGGTTTATGTAGCTTACAGTTTCAGAGGCTGAAGGTCCAAGATTGGGCAGCCCCATCTGTTTGGTCTCTGGTGATGGCCACCTTGGCTGTATCAAAACACGGTAGATAACATCATGATGGGGAGTACAAGAGAGGGAGCAGGCACATAGTGAAACTGGAGGCAATAGGGATTCAGAGACCAGACTTGGTCTTTTTATAAGAACTCACTGTCATGGAAACTAACCAAGGTCCCACAAGAACATCAATCTCTTCCTAGGGTGAGGCCTCAAGGAACCCAACTACCTTGTACTAGGCCCTTCTTTATGAACAAAAAAGATTCCGTTCCCTAGAAACCACCATACTGGAGACCAGAGTTCTAGCTCATGAATCTCTGGGAAGAATAGGGCACACACAAACTATATCCCAACCATAGTAAATGTTTTCATGTGAGGAAGACAAGGTCAGATTCTTAATTAGCCAGGTAAACTTAGGACTAAGAATTTACAGAATGAGTGACACTTCAGTTTGGTGTCAAACTTGAATCATCCGTAAAACTGTATGATTGAATAATATAGTCAATATAACCAGGTGAATAGTTGTTGTTAATTAGAGGTGGCTAATCTTGATTTGAGCCTGAGAGAATGTTCCCAGAGCAAAGAAGACCCAATACAGTCATGAGCATCTTCTGGGTTAAGGGTGCCTGTGGAAACCTCATAAATAGGAGACAGAGCCCATGAAGGACATGAGGTCCCTGAATTCATACAGAAGCCCCAGGTTAAAGACTTTTGATCCAGAAGTAAGAGCTATACCAACTAGACCTATGTTCACTGTAAGGATAGTGATCTATGTTATGTCAAAACTACATTTAAATAAGTCAGTAACAAAAGGACAAATATTGTGCAATTCTACTCCTATGAGGTCCGTAGAGCAATCAAACTCAGAGACAAAATAGAATGATAGGTTTAAGGAGTTGAGTAGAGAAGGTAATGGAGAATTAGTGTTTAATAGGGACAGAGCTCCAGTTTTGCAAGATGAGAAAGTTCTGGAGAGCCAGACATGGTAGCGCACACTTGTAATCCTGGAACTCGGGAGGCTGAGGCAGGAGGATCGTTGCGAATTCATGACCACACTAGATTACAGAGTGAGCTCAAGGCCAGCCTGAACTGCATAGTGAGACCCTGTCTCAGGAAGACAAAAAAAAAGTTCTGGAGATGGATGATAGTGATAACTGAATAACCATATGAATGTTCTTAATGTCACTGAACTCTGTTTAAAAATAGTGAAGATGGATATATACACAACTGCATATAAGATCCATCCTGAGAAATATTTTGATGCTCTGCTCCCACAACGTCTCTGAAAGGACTCAAGTTCCACTTGGAACAAATTTTAGTCCACACTGGATGTTATGGAGTCAAATGTGCAGTAGCAACATGCCGGAGACCTGAAGCTGTAACCGTGTCTGTTTTTCCCTGAAGGAAGAAGATGGTTACATGGATGTCCTCAATTCAAAGCCAAGATTGTGAATGCATGGATTTCATCACAGGAAAATAGCAGACACTCCACAACTTCTAAACCCATAACCCAGTGATATGTCCTTTGAGAAGCGCCATTCCTATTTCTTAGTGTATCACAAATGTGAGGTTTTTAAAACTTAATAAAATGTTGAGCACTTTCACTTCTTGTTGTGTTTTGGATCCTAAATTCCCCCCAATGGCCCATATGCTAAGTACAGGCTTGGGAGTTGTTAGCCTGCGACACCACTGAGGAACAGTGGGACCTTTGGGAGGTGGAAGGGAGTTAGGTAATTGGGGTTGTGCCCTTGAAGGGGATATTGGAGCTATGGCATCTGCCTTTTTATCTTTGCTTCCCAGCCACCATGAAGTCAATTGTTTTCATCTGCAAAGCCCTTTTGCCACAATGTCCTGCTTTAAAATAGACCCCAAAGCAGCAAGCCCAAGAGACCACACAGACTGAAACTTCTGAAAATGAGCCAAAATAAATCTTTTCTTTTCCTAAACTGATTATCTCGGCATTGTTCATAGTGATAGGAAACTAGCTAACACACCTCTCCATTAAAAGTTGAATTAGCTGAGCATCGTGGCACACACCTATAATCCCAGCATCGGGTGGCTGAGACAGGAGGATTGCTGTGAGTTCGAGATCAGCCTGGGCTACATAGTGAGTTGAAGGCCAGCCTGAACAGTATAACGAGACCCTGTCTCAAAAGACCAAAGAAAAAAAAATAATTTGAGTTCAACTCCTTATGTCTTAAAACCGCATGGCATTCATCTCTTGAGAACATTTGGCTGACTACCTTGAAGGATGTTAAAGCAAGAACTTTAATGTCAAATAGTCAATGTATATAATCATCTACACAAGCTTAGACTTGCGAATTCAATATCTCAGTGCCTCAGGGACAGTGTGACAGCTTAACTTTCTTTCCTCTGGCAATTAGTATCTTGACACTGTGACAAGTTCTAAGACGATAGTCTTCCCTAGAAGCTCTAAATCCTTCCAAAAAGCTTGAGTGTGATTTTTAAAATGCAATTATCAGTGGTTTAGGGCAGTGTTTTTCTCAAATTTGAGGTTCATCCTCAGCCTCTGGGGAGTATGTTATACAGAACTGCTTCCCAGTCTGAGTGGAGCCTGAAAACCTTTTCTTTCTTTCTTTCCTCTTTCTTTCTTTCTTTCTTTC